TCCAAACTTTTGACTGGTACTGTATATAGATATATATTCTTTTATTCTGTTTATTTGGATTAGTCAGCATTTGTTGACAGAAAACATTTGGACAAATTTATAGATTTCCCCCCTACAATTATCCTGCAAAAGTAAAATAGTTCAGTGAAGTTGGTGATTGTTGAATGTCATATACAGTGGGGAGAACAAGTATTTGATACACTGCCGATTTTGCAGGTTTTCCTACTTACAAAGCATGTAGAGGTCTGTAATTTTTATCATAGGTACACTTCAACTGTGAGAGACGGAATCTAAAACAAAAATCATAGAAAATCACATTGTATGATTTTTAAGTAATTAATTTGCATTTTATTGCATGACATAAGTATTTGATACATCAGAAAAGCAGAACTTAATATTTGGTACAGAAACCTTTGTTTGCAATTACAGAGATCATACGTTTCCTGTAGGTCTTGATCAGGTTTGCACACTGCAGCAGGGATTTTGTCCCACTCCTCCATACAGACCTTCTCTAGATCCTTCAGGTTTCGGGGCTGTCGCTGGGCAATACGGACTTTCAGCTCCCTCCAAAGATTTTCTATTGGGTTCAGGTCTGGAGACTGGCTAGGCCACTCCAGGACCTTGAGATGCTTCTTACGGAGCCACTCCTTAGTTGCCCTGGCTGTGTGTTTCGGGTCGTTGTCATGCTGGAAGACCCAGCCACAACCCATCTTCAATGCTCTTACTGAGGGAAGGAGGTTGTTGGCCAAGATCTCGCTATACATGGCCCCATCCATCCTCCCTTCAATACGGTGCAGTCGTCCTGTCCCCTTTGCAGAAAAGCATCCCCAAAGAATGATGTTTCCACCTCCATGCTTCACGCTTGGGATGGTGTTCTTTGGGTTGTACTCATCCTTCTTCTTCCTCCAAACACGGCGAGTGGAGTTTAGACCAAAAAGCTCTATTTTTGTCTCATCAGACCACATGACCTTCTCCCATTCCTCCTCTGGATCGTCCAGATGGTCATTGGCAAACTTCAGACGGGCCTGGACATGCGTTGGCTTGATCAGGGGGACCTTGCGTGCGCCGCAGGATTTTAATCCATGACGGCGTAGTGTGTTACTAATGGTATTCTTTGAGACTGTGGTTCCAGCTCTCTTCAGGTCATTGACCAGGTCCTGCCGTGTAGTTCTGGGCTGATCCCTCACCTTCCTCATGATCATTGATGCCCCACGAGGTGAGATATTGCATGGAGCCCCAGACCGAGGGTGATTGACCGTCATCTTGAACTTCTTCCATTTTCTAATAATTGCGCCAACAGTTGTTGCCTTCTCACCAAGCTGCTTGCCTATTGTCCTGTAGCCCATCCCAGCCTTGTGCAGGTCTACAATTGTATCCCTGATGTCCTTACACAGCTCTCTGGTCTTGGCCATTGTGGAGAGGTTGGAGTCTGTTTGATTGAGTGTGTGGACAGGTGTCTTTTATACAGGTAACAAGTTCAAACAGGTGCAGTTAATACAGGTAATGAGTGGAGAACAGGAGGGCTCTTAAAGAAAAATGAACGGGTCTGTGAGAGCAGGAATTCTTACTGGTTGGTAGGTGATCAAATACTTATGTCATGCAATAAAATGCAAATGAATTACTTAAAAATCATACTATGTGATTTTCTGGATTTTTGTTTTAGATTCCGTCTCTCACAGTTAAAGTGTACCTATGATAACAATTACAGACCTCTACATGCTTTGTAAGTAGGAAAACCTGCAAAATCGGCAGTGTATCAAATACTTGTTCTCCCCACTGTAGTTGATCCGTCATGGCTCCTGACTCTGTCTGACTCACCTTTTGGAGAGGATGGTTACCATAGGTACCGGATTGTACATTATGACACTGACGACTAGGTCATCCTGACCCTAACCAGGACATTGCAGTAGTTAAGTGTCCTCCATTCTCTACATCCAACTCCCGTCTATCTCCCCCAGCAGATCTGACCGACTCAAAGCACTTTGATGTACGTGCAGCATGCACCGCTTCAGGGCGGACTTTTCCTTTTTGACTAGAACAGACCTCTTCATGAAAGCAGTGTGTGGATGTGAGTGTGTGTGTGTGTGTGTGTGTGTGTGTGTGTGTGTGTGTATGTGTGTGTATGTGAGTGTGCCCTTTCAGACTAGAGCAGACAGATCCCTTTACACAGTGTGTGTGTGTGTGTGTGTGTGTGTGTGTGTCTCTGCCTGTGTCTCATGTCTATATGTGTCTATGTGTGCATATCAGTTTTAGAGAGGAAGAAAATGTGGCTCGGGTTATGCATGGGTCTGTTCAATTTAATCTGGGGTATTTCACCTTTATTTAACCAGGTAAGCCAGTTGAGAACAAGTTCTCATTTACAACTGCGACCTGGCCAAGATAAAGCAAAGCAGTGCGATAAAAACAACAACACAGAGTTACATATGGGGTAAAAAAACAAAGTCAAAAAATACAACAGAAAATATATATACAGTGTGTGCAAATGTAGCAAGTTATGGAGGTAAGGCAATAAATAGGCTATAGTGCAAAGTAATTACAATTAGTATTAACACTGGAATGCTAGATGTGCAAGAGATTATGTGCAAATAGAGATACTGGGGTGCAAAAGAGCAAAATAAATAACAATATAGGGACGAGGTAGTTGGGTGGGCTAATTTCAGATGGGCTGTGTACAGGTGCAGTGATCGGTAAGGTGCTCTGACAACTGATGCTTAAAGTTAGTGAGGGAGATAAGAGTCTCCAGCTTCAGAGATTTTTGCAATTCGTTCCAGTCATTGGCAGCAGAGAACTGGAAGGAATGGCGGCCAAAGGAGGTGTTGGCTTTGGGAATGACCAGTGAGATATACCTGCTGGAGCGCAGACTACGGGTGGGTGCTGCTATGGTGACCAATGAGCTAAGATAAGGCGGGGATTTGCCTAGCAGTGATTTATAGATGGCCTGAAGCCAGTGGGTTTGACGACGAACATGTAGTGAGGACCAGCCAACAAGAGCGTACAGGTCACAGTGGTGGGTAGTGTATGGGGCTTTGGAGACAAAACGGATGGCACTGTGATAGACTACATCCAATTTTGTTATGCATGGGATTTGCAATTTAATCTGTGGTTATGCATGGGTCTGTTCAATTTAATCTGGAGTTATGCATAGGTCTGTTCAATTTAATCTGGAGTTATGCATAGGTCTGTTCTATTTAATCTGGAGTTATGCATAGGTCTGTTCAATTTAATCTGTGGTTATGCATGGGTCTGTTCAATTTAATCTGTGGTTATGCATGGGTCTGTTCAGTTTAACGTCTACATTTTGTTACCTATTTCAACAGCTGTGACAGACTCCTAGAATGGTTCCTGAATTGTTCCTTTCAGTTTAGAAGGATGAAGCTCATCTGAGTTCCTTCTGTGTTTATTTTCAGCACAGCTCATTTCAGCCTATTGTCTTCAACGCTGCAACTGTTTTCTTTGACTCAAATGTCACCCTTTTCCCTATTTAGTGCACTACTTTTGACCAGGGCCCATATAGGCCCATAGTGCACTATGTAGGGAATAGGGTGGTATTTGTGATGCAGACTTGGAAAATAAATACCTCAGTCAAAGAGCAGCAACACAATTGAATCCAGCATCACAACCTGTGTCCTCCAGACAGAAGCTGGCCTTGTGTCCCTCAGCTACCTTCCTTCCTGTTATCACATCCAGCAGGTCATAGCTACTGAAGGCATTCATACTGAGGTAGTGAGGTAGTGGAGGTTAAGTTGAGGTAGTGAGAGAATAGAGGAGATAGAGCTAGAGGAGATCGAGAGAGAGAGAGAGATAGAGAGTATGAGAGAGAGAGAGAGAGAGAGAGGAGAGAGAGGAGAGATAGAATAGAGAAGAGAGATAATCTAGCGCGCGCGATCATCTCTCTCTCGCTCTCTCGCGATCGAGCTCGCTCTCGCTCGCCTGCAGCTCTCTCTCTCGCTCTCTCTCTCTCTCTCGCTCGCCTCTCTCTCTCTCTCGTCTCTCTCTTCTCTCCTGCTCTCTCTCTCTCTTCTCCTCTCTCTCTCTCTCTCTCTCTCTCTCTCGCTCTTCGCTCGCTCTCTAGCTCGCTCTAGCACGTCTCTTCTCTCTCTCTCTCTCTCGCTCGCTCTCGCTCTCTCTGCTCTCCTCTTCTCTCTCGCTCTCTCTCTCATCTTTCTCTCTCTCTCGAGTCTAGAGAGAGCGAGCAGAGAGGCGACTTTCTGGAGACTGCTGAACTCAACATTGGGGTTTGGCTCAGCCCTTCAGATTGCATTTGGCCAGAGATGTAATGCCTATGGTATGTAAGTGAAGTCAAGAGAAATATACTAAACTGTCTACACAGTATGTTTCAAACAGAGTTTCATTTAGTTGAACTGTGAAGATGTACAACGTTGCTTTACTGTAAACTCTGACCAGAGAGAGGGAAAGAGACGGAGAGAAAGAAAGAGAGAGAGAAGGAACGAGATATAGAAAGAGAGAGACTGAGAGTTGTGCTAAAACCCTCCCTCTACAGGACTGTGCCTCTGTCTCTCTACTCAGAGGTGTCGGTCTGTTCAACCATGCAGTGTGGCTGATGAAACCCCTCCTTCCTCAGCCTCCTCCTCGTCCTCACTTGGCGGAGGATTCTCTGACTGGCTCAAACCAGGCTGCGTTTAATTGAAGAGTGCCAGGCTGTAGTCACCAAACAAGGAGGCTTAATGAAATCAGAAAGCTCTGACGGACTGACATTGACGACAGAAACACGGAGAACTGGATCTCAGGTGGAGAAAGAGGCGACATTCAGGTACAGGCGACTGTGTGAGAGAATGAAAGAGAGTTAGAAACAGCAGTGAAACTCAGAGAGTGAAAGGTGGAGAACTAGGAGGAGGAGAGGAGGGGAAGGGAGGAATCGAGAAATGGAGGAGGAGAGGAGGGGAATGGATGAAACGGGAAATGGAGTAGAGGTGGGGAATGGAGGAAACGGGAAATGGACAGCCAAGTGAGGGAGAGAGACAGGAAGCCTCCAGCAGCAGATGAGACTGAGGAACGAAACGAGGGAGAGGTAGAGAGAAGGAGAGAGAGAGGGAGAGGGGGAGAAGAGGGGCCCCGAGCAGGAGAAAGGGCTGCAGGGTGAAGAAGGAGTGAGAGAAAAGTAGGAAAAGTAAGAGAGGGGTCAGGGGAAAGAAAGGAAAGAGAAAAACAAGTCGAGGAGAGAAACAACAGGAAGAATAAAGGGGGAGGGACGTCTTAGTAAAAGAAAATAAGGCAAGGGGGGGTGGAGTCAGTTGTAGCTAGATGAGGAAAACAGTTAGAGTGAATGACTAGGTCAGAGTTGGAGAGCAGCAGGGAGGAGAAGGAAACCAGTTGGGTTTTTTAAAGGCATTTTCCACAGCAGCCAGCCTCTACTCCGGACGGACTGTTTTCATTCTGAAATGTACTCAGACAGCACACGGACGGGACACTACGGACTCATTCATCAAAACAACAACGACTACTGCTACTGCCGCCACAGTGTCCATTACACACCCACGTTGTTCCAGGGAGGACCAGGGGGGTACAGATCACCAGCCATAAGCCCAGACCATCCAGACCACCCACCATCACTGGACCTCAGGGAAGACTTCCAGCTTCCTCCTTTCCCTGTGGAGCCCCAGGACATAGAGCCTGGACTAGAGAAGGGTGAGAGAAGTGGAGGAGGAAGAGGTGGTGGAAGAGGAGATGGAGGAAGAGGTGGAGGAGGCAGAAGAAAAGGTGAAGGCAGAGGAGGAGGAGGCAGACGAGAAGGTGAAGGCAGAGGAGGAGGAGGAGGAGGAGGAGGAGGAGGAGGCAGAAGAGAAGGTGAAGGCAGAGGAGGAGGAGGAGGAGGAGGCACTGAAGCTGAAACTGGAAGTGGTCACACTCACATGGCCCCACAGAGGAGGCCAGTGTTCACAGGGCAGGGTGAGCATGTCCAACCTCAGCCAGACCAATTTAGCCCTTGCCAAACCTGGGACTACAACCCTGCCCAGTGGAGCTGGCCAGTGGAGCCCTCAGGCCCTGGTCTGAGACACTATTCCCCTGTGAGAGAACAATGTGGCTGTGTGGGACGGGGTGGAGGTGACGCTGTTGGGACGGCGACCGGGACACACCCCTTCAACAGCAGCAGACACGCGTCAGCCTTGTCACTCCCCCCGGACCCAGACCCGGCACACATACAGACAGACAGGCAGACTAGCTATAACTACAATCCAGAGGGGCACAGACAGGCTAGTTATGGTTCGGAAGAGCAGATCTGGGGTCAGCCGAAACACAGACAGGCCAGCTGCAGTTACAGTTTGAAAGATCAGCCAAAACACAGGCCAGAAAGACAGGCTAGCTACGGTCCACAGGAACTACTCAGACAGGCTAGCTACGGCTACAGTCCAGAAGAACAGATCTGGGATCAGTCGAAACACAGACAGGCTAACTACAGCTACAGTCCAGAAGACAAGCCGATACACGGACAGACTAGCTACGGTCCAGAAGAACAGATCTGGGATCAGTCGAAACACAGACAGGCTAGCTACAGCTACAGCCCAGAAGAGCAGGTCTGGAGATGTACTGCTGGTGGCGAACACGATCATTTGGACAGGTGTGTACCACTGGAACAAGGAGATTTACACTCCTACATGCCAAATGGATGCTGTGGCGGTGGTGGTCCCAGCCCCAGGCCTGTGTCCTCTCGGGGCAGGGGAGATAGAGCTAACCTCCAGGAGAGGTCTACTAGATTAAAGGCTGGAGGAGTTGGTGGTGGGGCAGAAGAGGACGGCTGTAATGGACAACATGTCCCTGCTGGCTCTAGCTCTGAGGGTTCGGTCCGGGAGAAGCAGGGTTCGGTCCGGGAGAAGCAGGGTTCGGTCCGGGAGAACCAGAGTTTGGTCTGGGAAAACCAGGGTTCGCTTCGGGAGAAGGAGGGTTCAGTCAGGGAGAAGGAGGGTTCGGTCCGGGAGAACCAGAATTCGATCCGGGAGAAGGAGGCTTCGGTCCGGGAGAAGGAGCGTGCGGTCCGGGAGAACCAGGGTTCGACCCAGGAGAAGAAGGGTTCGCTCCGGGAAAAGCAGGGTTCGCTCTGGGAGAACCAGGGTTCGATCCGGGAGAAGGAGGGTTCAGTCTGGGCGAAGAAGGGTTCGGTCCGGGAGAACCAGGGTTCGATCCGGGAGAAGGAGGGTTTGGTTCGGACGAAGGAGGGTTCTGTCTGTGAGCAGATCAGACAGGTGGTGTCAGACCTGGAGGGGGTCCTGGGTGGTCTCAAACAGGTCCACGTGGAGATGAAGGAGGTAAGAAGTCTCTGCTGTATGTTAACCTGCAGTTAGCCTGGTCCCAGATCTGTTTGTGTTTTAGCCAACTCTGACTATAGTTGTCACGCCATCATACCTAGCCTCGCGAGCCACGCTACATAGCGTATATTTATATAAGCTCGGGAGTTCAGTGTGGCTTGCGAGGCTAACTATAGTTGTCATGCTGTTCATGTAGTCTGAGAAGTCGGCTAAAGCAAGAAGCTCTGTTTAACCTGATGAATCCATAGAAAATGAAATGAAATGGACAGTACTCCATTAAGCTTTTGATAATTTGTTTATTTACCCTGCATAAACGCAATGAATGATCGAGGCATATTTCGTTCTGAGTCCTGTCCATCTGCTTTTCTATGGAGTGTACTTACGGGATCATGCAACCACATTTTTAAGGACCATTTTTCCGAATGAGTGCCTACTATGAATGCTAATGAATGAACGATATGGCAAAAATAGTAATGACAACAACAGGAGTTGTCTGAAACCTACACAGTGATCTGAGGACGAGGCTGTTTGCCTTGAATCCACATATACGTTTCAGTACGGTTGTTTCAGTACGGTTGTTTCAGTAGGGTTGTTTCAGTAGGGTTGTTTCAGTACGGTTGTTTCAGTAGGGTTGTTTCAGTACGGTTGTTTCAGTATGCTTACATTGACATCTGAGGTAAAGCAGACACTGATGGACCTATGAATGTCCTCTTTCTGTTTATGGGCAATTACACAGTAACAGAATGATGCTCAGACTCGGATGATTATTCACTTTAAAATGTGTGCCAAACAAAAAACAAATGAAAACCCATTTACTTGAAGAACTGTGAAGAGGCAAAGTTTGGTAACAGAATGACAGTTTGTGCTGTTGGTGCCGTCATCCTGTTACCAAACTTTGCATCTGCACAGTTCTTCAAGTAAATGGGTTTTCATTGGTTTTTGTTTGGCACACTGTACATTATAAAGGGAGAAATCTGAGTCACAGCATCCTTCTGTTATCGTGGAATTGCCCTCATGCATTCCGCTCTGTAGAAAAAAAAATTACATTGCAGGCTGATATGGAAGGAGATAGCATTGTTCATCATTTGAGTCATTTCTTGCAGTTGCATTGATTGATTGAAAGCGATTCACATTGACCGTGTAGTGTCGAGTCAAAGTTGCTAGTCATTGCTGATAAACAAAGGAGTCCGCTCATACTGAACCTTTGATCATAAGTTTTATTCATATCACAAGATTCCAGCATAAGTTTTACAGATGTCATGACCACCCGGAGAGCGGCGTCCCAGATTGCAATGGCCGCTCTAACCTCTTCTTCGTTTTTACCCAGTATATATAATCTTCCCAAGATATGGGTGGCTCCCTCTACTGTCCAATCCCCTGTCTACAACACACACTTCCTGTCTGTTGTATGTGGCGTCACACTAAAACATTCCCTCTTGACACTAAAATAAACATCCTATCAGGTTCCACTTAAAACCATTAACAAAGTCATAATCTTAATACACTACAACCGTTTGGCTAAAACCTGCTGCTAGAATTGATGGAGACACAAGAAGCACATTAAAGAGCATGTCTTGAGACCGGTTCCTGAACTATGCTTAGCTTTTATGGTGTCAATATGTAATAGGGACGTAGTATACTGTACCTTGTTGAAAAGATATCTCATGACTATCGAGAGACATGGTCCAGTATAACATAATGTATGAATATATTGTAGTTATGTAGTATAATGTACTGGTAACTAATGTAGTAATGTAGTATAATGTATTAATATACCGTAGTAATGTAGTATAATGTAGTGGTAACTAATGTAGTAATGTAGTATAATGTATTAATATACTGTAGTAATGTAGTACAATGTTTGAATATACTGTAGTAATGTATGAATATACTTTAGTAATGTAGTATAATGTAGTGGTAACTAATGTAGTAATGTAGTATAATGTATTACTATACTGTAGTAATGTAGTATAATGCAGTGGTAACTAATGTAGTATAATGTATTAATATACTGTAGTAATGTAGTATAATGTACTGGTAACTAATGTAGTAATGTAGTATAATGTATTAATATACTGTAGTAATGTAGTATAATGTATTAATATACTTCAGTAATGTAGTAATATACTGTTGTAATGCAGTATATTGACTCTCTGTATTGTCCAGTAGGTGGTCCAACAGATGTATTGTCTGACAGCTACCAAACACATTTCGTTGTAAAATATATATATATTTGAAATATATTGTCAAACAATATGACTCTTTAAAAACGTATAGTATAACAGACATGTTATATAATTGTTGGTAACTATGTTTATTGACTCTGTGTTGTCCTGTAGGTGGTCCAACAGATAGATTGTCTGACAGCTAACATTGACCTGGGAGAGGAAGAGGGATCATGTAACAAGTCCCCTAGTAGTGGTGACGGTCTCCCCAAACCCAGAGACTGTAGAGGTGGTGACGGTCTCCCCAAACCCAGAGACTGTAGAGGTGATGACGGTCTCCCCAACCCCAGAGACTGTAGAGGTGATGACGGTCTCCCCAAACCCAGAGACTGTAGAAGTGGTGACACCCTCCCCAACACCAGAGACTGTAGAGGTGGTGACGGTCTCCCCAACCCCAGAGACTGTAGAGGTGATGACGGTCTCCCCAACCACAGAGACTGTAGAAGTGATGACGGTCTCCCCAACCCCAGAGACTGTAGAAGTGATGACGGTCTCCCCAACCCCAGAGACTGTAGAGGTGGTGACGCCCTCAACCCCAGAGACTGTAGAGGTGGTGACACCCTCAACCCCAGAGACTGTAGAAGTGGTGACACCCTCCCCAACCCCAGAGACTGTAAAGGAGCCCTGATGTTCAACCAGGGATACCAGAGACCACAGTACAGAGACATGGAACGTACCGTCAACAACAAGACTACTAGGGTCCAGGTGCACAACCACTGGACTAATACAGGGGGCCTGGTCCACAACCATAAGACTCCTGGGGATCATGGACCACAGCGCAGAGACATGGATCATACTGTCATCATACATGACCCTCCTTCCGACCCCAGAGGTGTCCCTGGGGTCCTTGTGTACAACCAGAAGACTAATGGAGACCAGGGAGTCCCCCTACTGTACAGACGCCCTGACCATACTGTCACCATACGAACTACCTCCCCGTCCCCTGTCCTCACTGCATCTGTCATCCAGACCAACCGGGTTTGGGTCACAGCCCTGAGCCCCATGGGCTCCAAAGACCCCAAACAGGACAGACGGGGGTTCAACGGACACCTTCCTCTACCCGGTCCAGGTAGAGGACTGAACCCCCCAAACCCCACCAGAGCTAGAAATTACCCCCTCCCTACCCATACCCTTATGGACTCACCTGTCTGACCCCACAGCCATGGCTGATTACAGTGTCCCCTCTCCCATGGTCGGATACAGTGTCCCCACTCCTAGGAGCCAGAAACCTCCACTGTACCCCCACCACAACGGACGGGTGGAGAGGCTCAGTAAGGGTCTGGCCCAGAGCCACCCTACCCTACCCGCCCAGCCCACCTAGCACTGCCGGGTCCTACCCCACCTGGCCCAGAGCCACCCTACACTACCCACCCTAACCACCCCGACCCACCTGGCCCAGTCACCCTACCCTGCCTCCCAGTGACCAAGAGACACCCCCCTACCCGGGGAAAGGCCCCAGCATGGTATGAGGGGTCAGGGGACAGCCTCACTGCCACGGGGGCCGGGAACATATAGGACAAGGACAGACCTACACTGATAAGTTGTCTGAGTTGGACTGCTCGTGGTAAGTGTGTGTGTGTGTGTGTGTGTGTGTGTGTGTGTGTCTGCTAATGTTGACGTCACATGAGTTCCTTCCTAGCAGTTCTTAGTCATGACTTCAGAGGAAATAGAGATTGCACAACATTTACACAGATTTATTCGTGGTTTACACAACCCGGCTGCTGATGTACGTTATGCATATATGCCATCGTAGTATAACAATTTGATTATACAAAAATAACATTTGAGCAGCCATATCTGTGAAGATGCAAGACGATTGTGTGCGTGTGTGTGTCTGTGTATCTGTTTGTCTGCTGATGTTTATGTCAGATTAGTTCCTACTTCTTGCTATGACTTAGTCATCATGACTTCAGAGAAATGGAAAGTAAAAAAAAAATGGAGAGTTTAATAATTTATTGTGATGAGACACCAACCATCTGGGATAGATATTGGATACAACTGCCGCTAGTCTACTCCCTGTTTCTGTAAGTATTTATAGGATAACAGACATGACTATCTATCTGAGTCATTGGCAGGACTACAAAAGAACTCCCCCACTCGTTTCTCCTGTTGGGACAAGATAGCACCGACAGACACAGTCTCCCTGTTTCTAGCTCCTCGCCAACTTTGCAGTATTTTTTTGTATGTCAATCAATCAATCACATTTATTTATAAAGCCCTTTTTACATCGGCAGATGTCACAAAGTGCTTTACAGATACCCAGCCTAAAACCCCAAACAGCAGGCAATGCAGATGCTGATTATTTGCTCAGAACGTTTCTTGTATTATTACCTACTGCCAGAAATAAATTTTTTGGATATTAGATCGGCGGTCACTCACCAGAAATTTGAGCAGAAATTCGACTTCCCTGACCTGGATCCTTTGTTTGAACTTCCAGAGGCTCTATTCATCCAGGGGGGTGCACGCTGACACCGGAGAAGGAGTGGGGTCCTAGTCAGACTCAGGCGGCGTGCGCACCAACCATCGCTTCCGAGTGTATTACTCGCTAACGGTCAGTCCCTGGACAATAGAGTCGACGAGCTCAGGGCGAAGATCTCCGTCCAGAGAGATATCAGGGACTGTAGCATACTCTGTTTATACAGTCCCTTCGGAAAGTATTCAGACCCCTTGACTTTTTCCACATTTTGTTAGGTTACAGCCTTATTCTAAAATTCATTACATTGTTTTTTCCCTCATCAATCTACACACAATACCCCATAATGACAAAGCAAAAACAGGTTTTTAGAAATTTTTGCTAATTTATAAAAAATAAAAAATAGAAATATTACATTTACATAAGTATTTAGACCCTTTACTCAGTACTTTGTTGAAGCACTTTTGGCAGCGAATACAGCCTTGAGTCTTCTTGGGTATGACGCTACAAGCTTGGCACACCTGTATTTGGGGAGTTTCTCCCATTCTTCTCTGCAGATCCTCTCAAGCTCTGTCAGGTTGGATGGGGAGCGTTGCTGCACAGCTATTTTCAGGGCTCTCCAGAGATGTTCGATCAAGTTTAAGTCCGGGCTCTGGCTGGGCCATTCAAGGACATTCAGAGACTTGTCCCGAAACCACTCCTGCGTTGTCTTGGCTGTGTGATTAGGGTTGTTGTCCTGTTGGAAGGTGAACCTTTGCCCCAGTCTGAGATCCTGAGAGCTCTGAAGCAGTTTTTCATCAAGGATCTCTCTGTACTTTGCTCTGTTCATATTTCCCTTGATCCTGACTAGTCTCCTAGTCCCTGCTGCTGAAAAGACCCCCCCACAGCATGATGCTGCCACCACCGTGCTTCACCGTAGGGATGGTGCCAGGTTTCCTCCAGACGTGACGCTTGGCATTCAGGCCAAAGAGTTCCATCTTGGTTTCATCAGACCAGAGAATCTTGTTTCTTACGGTCTAAGAGTCTTTAAGTGCCTTTTGGTAAACTCCAAGCGGGCTGTCATGTGCCTTTTACTGAGGAGTGGCTTCCGTCTGCGCCACTCAACCATAAAGGCCTGATTGGTGGAGTGCCTCAGAGATGGTTGTCCTTCTGGAAGGTTCTCCCATCACCACAGAGGAACTCTAGAGCTCTGTCAGAGTGACCATCGGGTTCTTGGTCACCTCCCTGACCAAGGCCCTTCTCACCCGATTGCTCAGTTCGGCCGGGCGGCCAGCACTAGGAAGAGTCTTGGTGATTCCAAACTTCTTCCATTTAAGAATGATGGAGGCCACTGTGTTCTTGGGGACCTTCAATGCTGCAGAAATATTTGTTTTACCCTTCCCCAGATCTGTGCCTCGACCGAATCCTCTCTAGGAGCTCTATGGACAATTCCTTCGACCTCATGGCTTGATTTTTGCTCTGACATGCACTGTCCACGGTGGGACCTTATATAGACAGGTGTGTGCCTTTCCAAGTAATGTCCAATCAATTTAATTTACCACAGATGGACTCCAATCAAGTTGTAGAAACATCTCAAGGATGTAATTTTTTTGTCCATTAAAATAACCTCAAATTGATCAGAAATACAGTGTAGATATTGTTAATGTTGTAATTGGCTATTGTAGCTGGAAACGGCTGATTTTTTATGGAATATCTACATAGGCGTACAGAGGCCCATTATCAGCAACCATCAGTCCTGTGTTCCAATGGCACGTTGTGTTTGCTAATCCAGGTTTATCATTTTAAAAGGCTAATTGATCATTAGAAAACCATTTTGCAATTATGTTAGCACAGCTGAAAACTGTTGTGCTGATTAAAGAAGCAATAAAACTGGCCTTCTTGAGACAAGTTGAGTATCTGGAGCATCAGCAATTGTGGGTTCGATTACAGGCTCAAAATGGCCAGAAACAAAGAACTTTCTTCTGAAACTCATCAGTCTATTCTTGTTCTGAGAAATGAAGGCTATTCCATGCGAGAAATTGCCAAGAAACTGATGATCTCGTACAACGCTGTGTACTACTCCCTTCACAGAACAAACTCTCTAACCAGAATAGAAAGAGGAGTGGGAGGCCCCAGTGCACAACTGAGCAAGAGGACAAATACATTAAGTTTGGACACACCTACTCATTCAAGGGGTTTTCTTTATTTTTACTATTTTCTACATTGTGGAATAAGAGTGAAGACATCAAAACTATGAAAAAAACAAAAAAGTGTTAAACATATATATTTTTTGTAGTAACCCAAAAAAGTGTTAAACATATATTTTACAATATATTTTATATTTGAGATTCTTCAAAGTAGCCACCCATTGCCTTTATGACAGCTTTGCACACTCTTGGCATTCTCTCAACCAGCTTCACCTGGAATGCTTTTCCAACAGTCTTGAAGGAGTTCCCACATATGCTGAGCACTTGTTGACTGCTTTTCCTTCACTCTGCCGTCCAACTCATCCCAAACCATCTCAATTGGGTTCAGGTCGGGTGATTGTGGAGGCCAGGTAATCTGATGTAGCACTCCGTCACTCTCCTTCTTGGTCAAATAACCCTTACACAGCCTGGAGGTGGGTTGGGTCATTGTCCTGTTGAAAAACAAAAGATAGTCCCACTAAGACTAAACCAGATGGGATGGTGTATCGCTGCAGAATGCTATGGTAGCCATGCTGGTTAAGTGTGCCTTAAATTCTAAATGAATCACTGACAGTGTCACCAGCAAAGCACGCCCACACCATCACACCTCCTCCTCCATGCTTTACGGTGGAAACTACACATGCAGAGATCATCCGTTCACCCACACAGCTTCTCACAAAGACACAGCGGTTGGAACCAAAAATCTCAAATTTGGACTCCAGACCAAAGGACACATTTCCACCGGTCTAATGTCCATTGCTCATGTTTCTTGGCCCAAGCAAGTCTCTTCTTCTTCTTGGTGTCCTTTAGTAGTGGTTTCTTTGCAGCAATTCGACCATGAAGGCCTGATTCACACAGTCTCCTCTGAACAGTTGATGTTGAGATGTGTCTGTGACTTGAACTCTGTGAAGCATTTATTTGGGCTGCAATTTCTGAGGCTGATAACTCTAATGAACTTATCCTCTGCAGCAGAGGTACCTCTGGGTCTTCCTTTCCTTTGGCCGTCCTCATGAGAGCCAGTTTCGTCATAGCACTTGATGGTTTTTGCGACTGCACTTGAAGAAACTTTAAAAGTTCTTGAAATGTTCCGTATTGACTTAACTTCATGTCTTAAAGTAATGATGGACTGTTGTTTCTCTTTGTTTATTTGAGCTGTTCTTACCATAATATGGACTTGGTCTTTTACCAAATAGGGCTATCTTCTGTATACCCCCCACTACCTTGTCACAACACAACTGATTGGCTCAAATGCATTAAGAATAAATTCCACAAATTAACTTTGAACAAGGCACACCTGTTAATTGAAGTGCATTCCAGGTGACTACCTCATGAAGCTGGTTGAGAGAATGCCAAGAGTGTACAAATCTGTCATCAAGGCAAAGGGTGGCTACTTTGAAGAATCTCAAATATAAAATATATTTTGATTTGTTTAACACTCTTTTGCTTACTACATGATTCCATATGTGTATTTCATAGTTTTGATGTCTTCACTATTATTCTACAATGTAGAAAAGAGTAAAAATAAAGAAAACCCATTGAATGAGTAGGTGTGTCCAAACTTTTGACTGGTACTTTATGTATATACAGTATATATACACTATACAGTTGAAGTTGGAAGTTTACATACACCTTAGCCAAATATATTTAAACTCATTCCTGATGAGTTTAAATTCCTGACATTTAATCCTAGTAAAAATTCCCTGTCTTCAGTCAGTTAGGATCACCACTTTATTTTAAGAATGT